CACATAGTAATTATGCAGAAAATTAGTTCCTTCCCCCTTTGATCATTTTTTTTCCCCCATACTGATTAATCTAGTTTTGTAAGTGAGTAACCCCACTGCCCAGCAGCAGGCAGGCTGTAGGAAAAGCTGGTTCATATCGCTAAAATTCATGACACTGAATTGAATGGAAATCAAACAAGATGAATTAACTATATAAAGTCAAGTAAATAATTCAATAAGAAACATACTTTTCTAGAATTAAAGTCCAGTTAGAGAGTTGTATTAGGGTACAAGCAAAGCTTCTGATAAGAAACCCATAAGTATAGTACCTTTAAAAAGACAAGTTCTTTCCCATGTTAAACCCAGAAGTGAGATCTCAGGTTGATAAAGTGACTCTGCCTCATCAACATGTTGCTTCCTGCTCTGAACCACAGCTTTATTCCAGAAGATCCAGAATTTGCTTCTGTCACTTCTGCTCACATCTTCCTGCAAGTCACATGGCCATGGCTGTTTTGGAAAATGAGAAATTCTCTAATGAGATGATCACTTGTTTTACTAAAGTATGGAAGCTCTGTTACTAAAATGAAAATGAAGAAAATAAATATTGGGAATCAGTAGCCATAGAGTTAAATGGTATCAGAAGGCTCCATGGTAACAATATAAGAAAACAATAAACTCATAGTTGTGCCAGATCTCCTGTACAAGGAGAAACTTTGCATACTAACCCTGAGCCTGAGTTCTGGGGCCTGCATCCCTACAACCGTGCTGAAGATGGAATTGTCCATCCATGCATTCAGTCACCAAATTCCATAGATGCTCAAGTCTGTCACGTAAAATGACATAGTAGTTGCATGTAACCTGTCCACACCCTCTTGTATACTTTAAGTCATCGATAGGTCACTTACAGTAACTAATACAATGTAATGCTACGCAGGTAATTGTTAAGCTGTGTTCTTTAGAGATTAATGACAAGGGAAAAAAAATTATGTTCAGTACAGACACAAATAGTGGACCCAATTACACAGTATATTTCTATCAGTGGTTGGTTGAATCATGGTTGTGAGAATGGTGAATATAGAAAGCCCAATGTGTTTGGTTATCTAGCCTTCTCAATACATCTATGGTAGGGCATTACAAATCTCCAACAAAAAGTGAGGAAGAAATGGGAGAGCTTGAGGACATTATTTTATTTTTATTTTTACATTTTAAAAGTAAAAATTTATTAGGAAAAGGAGAAAGAAAAAAGAGAGGCACTTGCATAGTCACAGGAGGGCAGGAGAGCTGCCAACGACATAATTTTAATACATCAATAAGGTACCAGTTTTGAATATTTTTAAATGATTATTGAAAATAAATTTATATAAGACATACTCTAGGGGCCTCCCAGTGGCCCAGGGGTTGTTTCAGCACTATCACCACTATGGGCCTGAGTTCAATCCCCCACCAGGGAGCTAATCCACATATGGCACAGCAGACTGCTCCTGTCTCACCCACTGCTCCCTTCAGTAGTGCATTTCAGTAGCTCTGCCTGTTCTGCTCCCCATTCTGTCTCTGGTGAATCTTCTCACCCACCACACTTCTGGCACACCCCAGTTCTACACAAAAATAAATTAATAAAACATCTAAAAAAAAAGGAAAAAGACATACTCTATACTCTATTGATCTGAGTATGTTTTAAACTTTACTATATTTATAGGGCCTTTTCTAGTATAAAGGACATTATTATACAAATATACTTTGTTGAATTGGGGTAACAAAAAAAGTTGACTTCAAGTATTTGTTAAAAAAAGATCTGATACCTTCAGAAAGATCCATCTTAAATTTGAATTCTTATTGACTGTTCACACTTAATATTTATGTTGATTTTACTGTTATTTTTTTTCTCCTACTTTTTCTTTTCTTCTTCCTACTCCAACTTTCTCCCAATTCAGAAATTCGGTTTAAATTTTTCATTGTTGTTTTTTGGACTTAGCATTATTAAATAATTATTGATCCCCAAAACAGGAGTAACTGTTTATTTTTCATTACATCCTAGTTTGGAATAAGTTTGGTTTAAATTTATTAACCAGGACGCTGATTTATTCTGAGAATGAAAGCCAAGAGACTCATTATTAGATGACTCTTTATGTTTTAAGTATTTTTAATACTGTTGTAAGGGATGAGAGGCTGCCATCTTGTGTCTGTTACATTTATTGCTGCACTAAAGGAGACCCATTCAGACACAATTTAGCATTGGATTTACATTATATTACACTAAAAATTAACAATCACGAAAGCAATGTGTGTGTTCTCCTTGGTGTTCTGACAAAAAAAAAATGAAGACATAATATTGAGAATAAATATTCCTGTCCAACAAGATAAAACATTATATAAACCATGAAATTGCTCTTTAAAATTTAAGTAATTTGATTTTGGGGTTCGGAAATAAACAAATGATACTCTCCAGATCTGGAATGTTCTAGAATTTTAAAATATAGAAATTATAATTATAAAATAAAGTGATTAATAATGTTAAAAAATAAATGTTGAAGTTAATCTTATATGATAAAATTAATGTGTAAAAGGCTACTCTTGAATGTTGTTCAGAACAAAATCTGAGTTTTATTTTAGTTCCCTCCTAGTTTCTTCTCTCGTATTTATTTCTTTATTTTCATTTTGTTACTTCCATAAAAAGTGCTTAGTAAGTGTCATGATCCTTCCAATAACAGCCATGCACCACAAGTTGCTAGAAAATGCTGAAACCAGTGTACGGTAAAGAGACCTTTCAACAGCTGAACCACAGACCTTGCAATAATTTGATATGGATTAGTGCCATCTTGTGGTTGCATGCAATATTGCAACAAAATAGCAAGCGAATGAATTTAACTTTTGAGTTTTTGTGAACCAACAAACTTTCTTGTTTGATATATTTATTGAAGGTTAGCCACATCTAAGTGGCTTGAATTTATTGGGAGTCTCATTATGCTAAAATGACTTGAGTTCACTGAAAAGTCTGTTACAATAAAAGAATCTCAAAAAAAAATCGAAAACTTACTTTCTATGAAAAATGTAATATTTCCCAAAGAAAGACTAGGATTATTAATTCTGAAAATGGAAAGTGGGCCCCTGTTAAGAGAAACCTGATAAATGCTAGTTGTCTTATTATTTTGAAGACTCACAGTGCACATAAACTTATTTAAATATTATAGAGGGCCTCCCCTAGTGGCACAGGTGCTTGAGCACTGGGCTGTGAAGCTGCCCCCAGCCTCTGCAGCCAGTTGGATCCCACATGGCGCGCAGACCTCTCCTGCCTCCCGCTACTCCCCTCAGCAGTGTACTTCGTCAGTTTGCTTGTTCGGTTCTCAGCTCTGGCTCTGGTGAGTTCTCTCACCCTCCCGCGAATCTGGCCTGTACCCCAGTTCTTGTGTAAATAAATAAATAAATAATAAATATTATAGAAAATGAATCTAATTTAGTTCTAAGTCAGCATTTTCTAACTATGCTTGAGCACAGGGTCCTTTTTTATAAAACAAATAATACTTATTAATATTACCAAGTAAAAACTTGCTGAAATAATGCAGGGAAAACACTTTGAAACATAAAAAATGAGAGTTTTGACATAAATCTTACACTGAATCTAAATTAAAAGAGTAATGTCCCCAGCCCCCGATGTTGGAGTCAAATGCTGAACATCTTGCACGATTGACATATGATGCACAATGACATTTGCACAACCAGATTACCTAACAGTGCTCTTCTCAGAACGTCTCCTCATTGTTAAGCAATACATGATATATTAAGGACTCTAAGTCACTAAAGGTGTCCTAAGTTTAGAATCTAAAAACAATTAGGAACTCATTTAAAAGAAAAATGTGTAAAGAATTACTTCCTGAAAATTATCACATACTGGAATGATTTACTTAGGATGACACTGATTCACCTTCTCTGGGACTCCTTAATAATAGTATAGGATCAATCAGTCAAGATTGCCTTCATTCATCCACCAATACGAGAAAATGGCACAAAGATACATATAGAGATCTATCTAGTTATATATGGATGTAAATAAAGGCCTTCCCTCTTGCAGGTAGAGTCCAAGAGCCTTGGTTGGAATCTTAACTCCATCTCTTGTGAGATGTGTATCCATGATCAAATTATTTGACAGTGCTGATTATCTTTATCATCATACCCTAGAAGGCATTGTTAAGAGAGAGTAGGAAGTATCCCGATTATTTAATAAACATTTGTCTTTACTGAAAGACCTCCATCTCTACTTAACATTCTAAAATTGAAACTGCTGAGTCATAAAGAATATGGCACCAAGGATGACACTGAAGTCCAATTTGAGACTTTTCTTTCTCTAAGCCCAATTTTAGCTGTATATATAAGTCTAAATCTATAAAAACCAGTCAAGATCATTGATCATCATTTTTATAGTCAGCAAGATGAAACCAGGAGGAATGTCAGATTAATCTGTCATTTATCACACTAAATTAAATATGTAACATGCAATAATTTTTTTTGAAAGATTTATTTATTTATTTATTCAAGCACTGGGTGCAGTCAGAAGCACGGGAGGGTGAGAGAATTCACCAGAGCCAGAGCGGGGAACAGAACAGGCAGACTGACAAAATACACTGCTGAGGGGAGCAGCAGGCGAGACAGGAGAGGTCTGCATGCCATGTGGGACCTTTGCTGGCAGTTGGGGATCGAATTGGCACTGCAGAGGCCGCGGGCAGCTTTGCAGCCCAGCGCTCAACCGCTGCTCCACCGGGGAGGCCTGCAATAATTTTTTAATACCAGGACAAGGTTACAATATTAAAATCAAAATATATAGTAATGGTATAATAATAATTTATTGTCACTTTAATGTTTAAGGAAAATTTGAGGGGAAAAATATAACCCTTATTTTCCTATGGGGTAAGCTTCATTTAACCTTTTTTCCTTTAAATACTTTCTGATATTTAAATACTTTCTGAACTATTCTCTTGTTTTCATAGAAAAGCTAGATTAACATGGATCAATTTGTATCTTTTTAACAGGAACAAGTGATCCATACGTGAAATTTAAAATTGGAAGAAAAGAAGTTTTTAGAAGCAAAATAATACACAAGAACCTCAATCCTGTGTGGGACGAGAAAGCTTGCATTCTTATTGAACATCTTAGGGAGCCATTGTATATAAAGGTGAGCCATTTATTATTTTTTCCCTAATTCAGTTTGGTATAGAAATCCCTGCTTGATTTTTTTTTTTTGTCATGTCTTTCTGTCTGATGAGATTTTTCAGTAGAGATATATTCTGCTATGCAGAATTTGAGCTATGATAGAAATGAGAGTGGGGAAGGGTGAACTAGTGGGAGAATTTTTCTTCAGGGCAGGTCTTTGTCAGTCATTTATGAGGGTTATGAAGTTCATTTTCTCCTTCTGTGTGCAACTGACTGATTTGGTAAACATTAGAAGCATATAAAAACCAGTCTACATAATCTAGCAAAAAGGAAAGCAGAAAACAGAAAAACAGAACCCAACCTTTGTGTTTAAGAACCACATCAGTGAATCTGCCATTCCTGCTTGCAAACAATGCTTTACTTGGAAGTCAAGAAGGGTAAAAAGATAGAGCAGGGAGAAAATTTTCCTGTATATATTGCATGACCAAATGGAGGGGGGGCGGTGGTAGTATTTCCTCTCATTTGATGTAATTTTTAAAAGAAGCAAAACTTAAGAAAACTTTTAAGTTGTAACTCTAACTCCTTGCTTGATTTTCATACCTGACTTCTCTTGAATTTGCACCTCTAGATTTTTTTAAAGTTATACTTATTGAAGTAATGTTGGTGAAGAGAGGCACCTGCATAGTTACAAGTGGGCAGTGGGAATTTTGCCAATTTAGTTACTTTATATTCCACATATTAGGGACATCATCCAGTATTTATTTTTCTCCTTTTGATTTATTTCACTTAGTCAAAATGCATATTTGAAAGAGAATATCTTACAGGTTCTAAAACAAAAATCCGAAGTACTCATAAAAAAAGCTGTGGCAAAATATTTGAGTTTAAGAGAGCAAGAATACATACAAACACACTCACATACATGTAAACTGTAAATGAAGATAGCAGCGCTGCATGCAAGTTTAAAAGGGTGGTAAATTAAGAAAGAAATTAAAAGAGAACTCGAGAGTTTTTTTGTTTATTATTTGGTTTACCACTTTGAGTTTTTATGTAGCCACAACTTGACTTTTACCACACAGAAGGAGGTGCATAGTGAATTACTAAAAAAAAAAAAAAAAATCACTTTTTTACATTTCTCCATTAGAAAAAAATGATTAAGTGAAATAGAAATCGTTCTGGCTTCTCAATAGGAACACACACATAAAATGACAAAATTGCATTTTTATGTAATATTTATATTTTAATATGCTTTCATATTTTTTATTTGGTTTCATTTTCTGTAAAAAGCATAGGGCTTCTGTTGAGAAAATCTGACTTAGCTTTTTTCCCTGGGTGGTTTTTTTTTTTGTATTATGTAGTTTTTACCCTAACTTGGTCACAAAGACCCACAAAAAATATTGATAGAAATGATATTTTAACTTACTAGAATTTCATGAAAATTGCATCATTTTCATTGTCTCTACACGGCCTTGTGTGACTGACTTATTTGATTTTGATAGGCTGCCCACATCCTCTGTGATGGGGATTAATTTTGCCTGAAAAATTTCATAGGGACTAACCATTTCCATAGTGACAGGTAATATGAAAATGCATCCATGAACTAGATGGTTAGAAATTATTAAGTCTGCAACCCTCCATGTTAAAGGAAAAAGAAGCCCTTGCGGGGCCTCCCCTGGTGGTGCAGCGGTTGAGTGCTGGGCTGCGAGGCTGCTCTGTAACGCCGGTTCGTTCCCCGGCCGCCAGTGAGGGTCCCACACACACAAAAAAAAGAAGCCCATGCATACCCTGTATTCTGAATTCTATCAAAGGAACGTTACCAAATGAATAAAAATTCAGTTCTGAGCCAAGGTAATAATATCACATTAAAGTTTGAGTGTTTGTACTATTTCTTAGCAAAAGCAGATTTTTTTTTCCCAAAAATCATGGAATTGTCATTTTTATTTATTTATTTTTCTAAAAATTTGTTTATTTATGCATACAAGAACTGGGATACAGGCCATAGCTGTGGAGGGGGTGGTGAGAGGATTCACCAGAGACAGAGTGGGGAACAGAACAGGCAGATTGTCTGAAATACACTGTTGAGGGGAGCAGCGGGTAAGTCAGGAGAGGTCTGCTGTGCCATTTGGGTAAGCCCCTGGCTGGGGATTGAACTCGTGCTGCAGTGGCTGTGGATAGCTTCATAGTGCTGCATCTTAACCCCTTGTGCCACCAGGGAGGCCCTGGAACTGTCATTTTTAAATACTACATAGAAAATAATTAAGAATACACTTTCCAGTTGGTCAGAATTCATATAGCTTCTAATTTTATTGAAAAGAGAATATACTTTTCCCTCTGACTGCCTTCACAAAAAGGGAAGGTGAACACAAGGCTGGAGGAGTGGGCTTGAGAAATACAATGAGCTAAGAGCTGGAGTTAAAATGCAGTATTTTTAGTCAAGACAAGGGCCCTGGAGCCTGCCCTGTCTCCACAGGGAAGATCTAGCACACTCCTAAGTGCTAGGAGAAAATCATAATCCATTTCAGTTTTATTGAATTCACATTCTCTCTTGTCATTTCACTGATACAAGGTGAACAGAACACTCAGAGTTACAGGATAAGAGATAGAAATAAAATAAAAAGAGAGCTGTTTGTGTAAATCGTTGTTCATTTGGCCTCTTCATGAATTAGAGATCTGGGCATTAAATTTAAAAGCTTTTCTAAATAATAGAACAATTTCAGTAACCAAGAAAATGATTCTGTTCTGTTTGTGAGATTGTTATTTTAACAAAATCAACAGTTCCTTAAATATCCCATTTCTATCCAGGCTTAAGATTCAAAATTGAAAAGGTGTTTTATGGATGACAGTACTGCTCTATTCATAATTATTTCTCAGTAGGTTTTAAGAACCCTAAAAGAAAATCATATTTCAATGATCATCAATCCTATACATCAGAATTATCCATACTTTTTTTTTGAGGTAATATTGGTTTACAACACTAATTTTCAGGTGTACAGCTTCACACCTCAGCAACTGTGAACTCTGGTCACCCACAGGTCTAGGTTCTATCCACTCTCATCCAATAACCCCTGATACTCTTTCCATGCCTCCCCTCTCACCTCCTCCCTTGTTGGTAACTACCATTCTGCTGTCAGAATCTACAGGTTTGTTCATTTGCTTTGTTTCTTTATAGTTCATATATAAGTGAATTCATTTATAAAGAAACTAAAGTGAATATAAGTGAAATCACCCATAAAGAATCTAGATGTCCAAGTGTCTCCCTCTAAGACTGTGCTTCAGAAGCTCCATGATGGAATCCAGGCCTCTGTATTTTTAAAACACAATAAATTATTCTGATACACTGCTTGGGCAGGGAGTCACTTTTATAGACATTAAAATGGAAACTGAATAGTTGGAACAGAAATATGTTTGCAGCTATATACCACAGGGCACCCAAACAAAATCATTTCAGGGTTATAAGTATTATCTTAAATATTTTGTCTTGTGTGGTTCAAAAATACTTCATAAATGCATAAATAAAGAATATCAGTCATTTTAGGGAAAAATCAAGATAAAAATGAAACAAAGAAACAAAACAGCATGACTGTCCTTGTTTTAGGTTTATGGGCAAAGAACATGTGAGTTTATTGATTCTCACATGCTAAGTTTGCAGTCACATCTTCACCATTATAGTAACTTTTATGGAGCACTGTGCTAAGTGCAGGCCCACATTATCTTATGCAATACCCTCAATAACCCTAGGAGTAACTGTTCCCATCTCCATTTTGCAAGTGAGTGAGATTCAGAGAGACTTGCTTATGCTCCAGAAATTAAGCTACATGAGTTTTATTTTCTACCAAAGATGATTAATTGCAATGAGCACAGCTAGGTTATATTTTGATTGTTGTTTTACTGATATTCTATGATTAGAGTTAATTATTCTTTTAAAGTGAAATGGTTATTTTGAAGCTTTCTGGGGATGATAATAAGTTATGGACATATTTTCTGAATAGGATTTTATATTGAGAGTCATATTGTATGACCAGGGTGTCTTTCCACTCCCTTTTCTTATTATTCCTCCTCACTCTATTCAAATGTGTCCTCTGTCATTGTCTTCCTAAGCATCCAAAATAAATAGCCATTCTCATCACTCCCATGCCCTAAGACATTTCTCTCCATTGCATTTATCATGCCCTAACATGCATTTATTTATTGTCTGCATACCCCCCTCTACATAAGTTTGAAGAAATCAGACTGTTTTATTCACTGCCATGTTTCCAGTACCTATAACAGCATTTTGCACACTGTAGCAGTTCACTAGATATTTTTCAAATAAATGAATGAAAAAATATATGAATCATTTGAACTCCAAATTTAAAATCCCCTGATGTCATAATTACCTACCCACAGTTCAGTCATTTGAGCTAACATTCATGTTAAAGCCAATGTAAGTTGGGTTTCCATTACTTGTATTCTAAAGCATTTTATTTATTTATTTATTTATTTATTTAAGATTGATTTATTTATACAAGCACTGGGTACAGTCAGAAGTGCAGGAGGGTGAGAGAATTCACCAGAGCCAGAGCTGGGAGCAGAACAGGTAGAGGACCAAAGTACACTGGTGAGGGGAGCAGCGGGCGGCAGGAGAGGTCTGCGCGCCATGTGGGAACCTTGCCCGGCGGCCAGGGATTGAACGGGTACTGCAGAGGCTGGGGGCAGCTTCGCAGCCCAGTGCTCAACCACTGCGCCACCAGGGGAGGCCCCCTAAAGCATTTTAACTGACACACTCCTTAATGCATTTTTTCTTTGTAGACAAATGAATGAAGATCCTAAGTAAATTCATTGATTATAGAACATATGTTATTCTGAACTCACATAAAAATGAAGAGTGGTGTTACTGAGTCCCAAGCAACTTTACCTTGTTACCACTATTTTCAACACATGGAGTAGGGGAGCTTGGAAAGCAAGGAGTACATCTAAATTATTCGTATTTAAATTACTTACATTTTATTCACAGTGAGTGTCCAAGTTTTATTTGTTAGACTTAACTATGTTCTGTTTTTGAAATCCAACACAAGAAGATTTTTATCTGGCCTCCTCTTAGCTGTGGCATTTTGGGGAGTGTAACATAAACATTTTTTAAAAGATTTTATTTATTTATGCATGCAAGAGCTGGGGTGCAGGCCAGAGATTTGGGGGGTGAGAGGATTCACCAGAGACAGAGTGGGGAGCAGAACAGGCAGATTTACTGAAATACACAGCTAAGGGGAGCAATAGTCAAGACAGGAGAGGTCTGCTGTGCCATGTGGGTCACCTCCCTGGCTGGGAATCGAACTCGTGCTGCAGTGGCTGCGGATAGTTTCATAGTGCTGCATTTTAACCTGTTGTGCCACCAGGGAGGCCCGTAACATAAACATTTTAAGCTTCTGGACAGAACAACTAAATAAGCACTTCTCCAAAGGAGCATATGGCCACCAGGCACATGGGAAAATGATCACTGTCACTTATCATCAGGGAAATATAAATCAAAACCACAGTGAGATTCCACCTCACACCTATGAGTTTAGCATACAGAAAAAAAACAAAACAACAAGTGCTAGCAAGGATGTGGAGGGAAAGGAACTCTCCTCCACTAATGGTAGGAATACAAAGTCCAGCCTTTATGGAAAGAAATATAGAGGTGTCTCCAAAGACTAAAAATGGATCTGCCATACAACAGAGTAATGCTGCTTCTAGGCATTTGCCTGAAAATTTCAAAAACACTAATTCACAGGGAGACTTGCCCTCCCATGTTTATTGCAGCACTATTTATGATATCCAAATTATGGAAACGGCCTAAGTGCCCAAAACAGATGAATGCATCAAGAAGTTGTCATATATAGACTCAAAGGAATATTACTCTGTGATCAAAAAAGATAAACTCATGCCATTTGTGGCAACATGAATGGAGCTGGAAGGGATAATATTAAGTGAAATATGTCAGAAGGACAAAAATAAATTCTGGATGGTGTCACTACTATGTGGCATATAGAGAAATCAAATTAAGTGTCAGATAAAGAAAAGCTTCAAAAACTAACCCTTGAAAGCTGACTATAGAACTAAAGCATCCAGAGTGAAAGAGGAGGGAGCAGGTAAGAAAAAAGAGGGAAGGAATCACAATGAGCTATGGTGGGGAGCTATGGGTGATTGGGTGGGGGGGGGTGCACCACCATGGTGATACCTGATGGAGGAAATACCAATGTTACCTCTATTTTAAAAAATAAATCTATTTTAAAAAATTAAACTTCAGAAGCATTATATGAAAACAACTTGTTTGCTGAGTTGTGAAATAAATTTAAAAATCTATATGATGTGTTTTGTGCCATGCCTAAGATACACAAAAAGCTGTATCAGCATTCATTGTGCTTATTATGACACAGTTAATGTTATTTTTTTTTATCTCTTTTCTATGCTCTGCATTTCTGAAGTTCCACCTGGAACAATTGAATTTAAGGAGTTTTGAAATAAGTAACATAGCTAGTGATTTCCTTAATAAATGGGTTGTGTTGTTTCCATTATTTCCCATGTTTATGCTTTGGCTGATTAATAAGAATTGAGAACTAAACATCTAGCATAGGACCAAAGGAAAAACTTTCACCTGGAGAGTTAGAGAGTTTGAATATTGAATCACCCACTTGGACTCTCTATACCAGTCAATTCCCTGGGTTCACAACTGTCCACTTCATATGTGTGGGTGTACCCCAGGTGTTCTCAATGATTATGGCACCGTAGTCTCCCCAAGATTTTAAGCCTCCAGGTGATAACATTAGAAGAGGTTACAAAAAGAATTTTCTCTAATTTTTGCTGTAAATTTCATGTTGCAAAATATGCTCCTGCAGTCACTTTGCAAATACTGTAGTATCATTTACATAAAATGTCCAGTATATTCATGGGATCTGCCCCTGAGGGTGACTAGAGCTCAGAAGTGTAATTGATCCAGAGGGGTATTTATCGGAGGAAGCCTATTCTTTCTACAACAAATGTACACCTGAAAGGTTGTGTGTAAATCAAATGAATGTAAATCAAATAATTTAAAAGGCATTAGACATACTTATTACTTAAATAAACTCCCCTGTGTCTCTTCAAATTTAAGAATCCTTTGTAATGCAAAGTATTTACCTTTTTAATATATCATTTTTTTACATGTTAAATTTGTTTAAATTGAAGTACACCTGTACAAGAGAAAAGACATTAACTGATTCAAGGCTGTGGTACAGACTGTTTCATAGGCTTCGAGCTTTCTAACTAACATTATGCCAAACTGAGCACAGGAATGCTGAACTATTGATTTCTTGGACTAATGGATTCTCATTTGGGTCCAGTCAAATGGCCTGGGTCATCTATTCAAGAGCAGCCTTACCTGCTTATGTTCCTTTACAAAGATTTTCTGTTGGAAAAAGCAAGGAGCACAGTTCTAAACTTCATCTATCAATAGTAACAGTTTTTCCCATCTTAAATGTTTTCTCTGATCTCCTGTTGATTTTTCTTTTCATACCCTGTTCTTTTCTTTGCAACACTTACAAAATTTATAATTACACATCACCTGTGTGCTTGCTTGTTTAACATCCATCTCCCTCACTATTTGTAAGCATGACAATGTCAGTTTTACTCACTGCCTGGCATATTGTCTGGCACATGATGTACTTAATCAATATTGGTTGAGGAAATGAGTGAATAAGAAAATCAAAGACTGAATGGAAGCAGGCCAACTCACATTTACTTACAGTTTTTTGAAAATAGCCTTAACTGATCTAGCACTAAGCCACCTCTCCAGTCTCCTACTCTCCATCTTTCTCAATTCGCTTCAACCACATTGGCTTCTTGATGATCCTTGACTATTTTAATCTCTTGCTCCTTCCTCCACCTGGAATGCTTTGTTCACCCTACCTAACTTAACCCTTTGCATCATTCATTTCCTGAATCCCTACCCATACTAAAATAGCAGCTCCCAACACACTCCCTTAAACTTCTGTCTTCATAGTGTTCATCATTGAACCTTATTTGTAGCTGTTTGGGTCAACTATCTCAGTCCCTAACTTTGGGGTCCAAGAATTCAGGAACATTGTCTGTCTTACTCATCATGGTGTGAACAAAAACCATGAATGGCTCAGAAATATAAACTGGATATTGGGCCTCGCTAGTGGCGCAAGAGACTAAGACACAACCTGTGGAACAATATAAGCCACTGCAGCACGAGTTTGATCCCCAGCCAAGGAGCAACCCACATGATGCAGCAGACCTCTCCTGTCTCACCCACTGTTCCCCTCAGCAGTGTATTTCAGTCCATTTGCCTGTTCTGTTCCCCACTCTGTCTGTGGTGAATCCTCTCACCCCCCACCACACCTCTAGCCTGTATCCCAGTTCTTGTATGCATAAATAAATACACAAACAAACAAAAAACAGGATATTGTTTTGTCGGAAGGAAGAAATGCATTCTCTTTTCCTTTTTAGTCTTCTTTTGTTGTTAGTCATAATATTATTTCCTAATCATTGCTGTCACAATAAAAATTTAGCTTTGACTTAATATAATTTTATAAAGTATTTTAATAATAAATCTCAATGTTTGTATGTTTACAATGGCATTATCCTACAACTTCACAGAATTTATCTTCAGTGACTTCAAAATAAAAAGAACTGTAGTCATATTCTCAGTATGGAAGACATACTTGTTGAATTTCATAACAACTTACTTTTTCTTCCAGTAATGTTAATATTCCTTCTGTAATTTGAGAAAATATTCTAAGCCATGCTTCCCACATTATTTATTAATATTCTAAGCCATGCTTCCCACATTATTTATTTGATTTTGTTATTCATCTTCCTTGAAGTCCTATTTGATATAAATCAATTATTTTAAGTAAAAAATTAAACATAACTTCCTTTGAATGTTTCATGAGACCCTACTATTCCAAAGCAGAAAAACAAGCACATTTAAAAATATATTAGGAGTGTCATTGTTTGTTATGACATCGACAACCAATATTTTATAATCAAAAACATTTTCATTTAAAGTTTATATTAGAATTATTTATAATAATGATTGCCTTTTTGACTTCTTAGGTATTTGACTATGATTTTGGACTACAGGATGACTTTATGGGCTCAGCCTTTCTGGATCTCACACAACTGGAGTTGAACAGGTAACTTTTGAGACATTTTAATGCCATATCCATTATCATGAAATTGGACCTTTGTAATAGAAATGTCAGCCAAACTGGGGTCTAATCACTGTTCTGTCATTTAGAGTTTTGAGCATTTGTGCTAAGCAGCCTTTCTCAAGTACCCAGTAGAAATAATAGCTAACTTATTCCCTAACTTACGCAACAAAAACTATTCAACAAAAAAATTCTTGGATATTTGCCTTATCCCCCATCAGTGGTAAAAGCCAGGAATCTAAGATGAGAAAGTAGAGACCTGCTTTCACATTACTTGTGTGGTTATAGTGAGGGATAAAGAAGATTGTGCATGTTAACCATAATGATTAATTTTTTCTCAAATTTTACTGATTTGCTAATCATTTATACAATTGATATAATTTGGGGAGTAGATCTTCACCCCTTCATCAATGCACATGCTTCTCTCTCCCTCCACCAAAGTTCCAATGCCACCACCCTATCACCTTCTTCAAGTCATTGCATTAAAAAAAAAAAAAATTTACACTTTGCTTCAAAAAGGCAACCTTCTTATTACTTGAGACAAAGTAGAATTGAATTTTGCTATCACTATTAATCTTCCTTTACCTAGGAGTACCCTTAAGTAAAGGCAGATTGGCTGTAAATTTATATGCTGGTATTAATCACTCTTTGCAGCTAATTATGGACTTGCATATTTTTAAATGCATATAACAATTGATTAATACTACAGAAGAAACATGAGATTTTTAAAAGGTCAAACAGGGCCTTCCTGGTGGTGCAAGGGGTTAAGTCTCAGCATTATGAAGCTATGGGCAGTCACTACAGAATGAGTTTGATCCCTAGCCAGAGAGGTGACCCACATGGCACAGCAGACGTCTCCTGTCTTGCCTGCTGCCCCCCTCAGCAGTGCATATCAGTCAATCTGTCTGCTCTGTTTCCCACTGTCTTTGGTGAATCCTCTCAACCCTCCTCATACCTTTGGCCTCTACCTCAGTTCTTGTATACATAAATAAATAAAATAAAAATCTTAAAAAAAAAAAGTCAAACAGTGCTGGACTTATGGCAAATGAACCTATGGAATGTTCTTGAATGGCTTTAAGGAGAAGAAACTCCTCTCAGTTCTTGACTGTCATGCTACATCAGGTGGGGGGAATAGTGGCAAGTAGGAAATAAGAGTCATGGACCAGGTAACTACTTTATAATTCTATAATTCATTATCATTTTCTCTACAACTTCTGCATAAGGATATGCAAATTACTGGACTTAATCAAAGAATATACATTTCCCTTGTTCTCTGTAAAAGACAAATCATTAATGGAAAATAACACTATAAGGAAAATTGTGGGATGATTAAGAAAATGAAAAGATTATATATAAAAATGTTCTTATTTTACCACAATGCATATTGTGTGTATTTAGCTAACCAGTCCCTTTCCTCAAAACTACGTAAACATCAAATTTCTAGTTTTTCAAAAGCATTCTATGTGTAAGTCAGAGTTCCTGGGTATAGACAAATGGATAATAATAGTTGCCACATAAATACTTAGTCTACTGTATAATCCAATAAGGTATCTCTTTGAAAGAAAATAATAGATAAGACTCAGAGAGCAGTTGCAAATGTTTTTAAATCTTTATATGTAATCATTATAAAAATGCAATAAAGTTTTTGTTATAAATTTTTATATATGATTAATATGGGAAATCTAACCAAATCTTATTGTTAATACCATATACGCACACTTCATTGTGTTTGTGCTTTGGAATGCTAGGGTCTTAACATTCAAAAGAAATTATTGATATAAGGTTTATTTTTGGCTTTTGCTTTTAATGGTTGTTCAAAATCTTAATATTTTATATCATAGACCCACAGATGTGACGCTAACACTGAAAGACCCCCATTATCCTGACCATGATCTTGGAAACATTTTTCTCTCTGTTGTTCTTACCCCAAAAGAAGGAGAACACAGGGATGTGGTAAGTCCCCCCAGCAGGAGTGCTTTCTTGCTCTCACATGTTCAAATGTTGTGATGCTTCTTTAAACCCAGAAGTAATAATAAAGAGAAGGAACACATGACCATCTGGCCTGTTCTTGGTTTCTGTATCACGGGTATCGCCAGTCCTTGTATACTGTAGCTTTTGAACTCACATTTTCTGTTCTATGCTGCAGGTCAGAACCTCTTGTAAATAAAAGAGGCATTTGCATCTTCTATTATAACTTTATTTCCTAATTTCAGTTATGTTATATTGGAAACAAAAGGTAGTGTTCATTCAGGGAATATGTGTACTAGTAAATTGAATGTTTGGAATGCTACAGTGAGGTATCCAGATACTCCTATTTTGACTGTACTGTCAGGTGTATCATAACAAAGAAAATGAGGTGAAATTATAACAGGGGTTCTACTTTCTGGTATTTGTTTATTGAATGATAAGTGAGTACTTTCATCTTCCTGATGGGCTTCCATATTAGTGTTATCCATTTTCCAGCTCTCTCTGGCTGTCCTTCCTTGCACACCATGCTGCTATAAGAAACTGACAAGGGATACAGAGGAGCCAATTACTGTTGAAATGACATTAAAAAATACAGGTTGACCTGCATCAGTAGGCTTACCAGTGCACTTTCTAATTATTTATTAAACTCAATGTGCTTTCACTAACTGGGAGCTACTTTCACTAGTTCTGATGTAACACATTTTAGGAGTAGACATACTTTTTCCAGACAAGCTCAAGTGTTCTTTTTCAGCAATGTGTATATTGTTTACTTAAAATAGTGAATGATTGAAGTTAGTTTATGTTATATGCTGTAAAGATATCATTGAAATTTTCCTCTGGATTATAGGCAAAAATAGTGAATTTCAACTCCAAATATGGATTTTAAAGTCATTGCAAAATTCACTCTTTCAATGAGTATTTTTCTCCATCTTAAAAAAATTAAATAATGAGCACACATATTCATAATTAATATTCTCAAAGTATGATTTTAGTAACTATTTCATTCATTGAGGAGAAATTTTCTCTTTTCCAAAAATTATAAAGTATCTACCACACTTTTCATGGTTAAAGAATATCCTCTAAACTGGCACATGTGTACAGATGGAAAAATGGATAAAGATTTTTTTAAAAAAATAATATTTAGAAATGGAAGCCTATTGTTATAGAAATCACCAATTCAGAAGGCATTATTTTATCCTGCACAAGCCAAGGAATATATCCTAGCTGACTAACCCATATATGGGAATAAATTATAACTATTACTTTATTGATTTATCAAATAATCCTCATATTCACCAAGAACCTACTATAACCAGATCCTGTGCTAGACCCTTACAATACAATAGAACTTACATCCAGTAGAAAACTCAGGAATAAAATAACCACTAAAGGAAATACAAAATGACAAGTCTTCTAAGTGCCATGAAAGAGAAGAGGTACATGTTGTAAGAGCAAATATAGGAGAGTCTGTTCTAATCAAAGGAATGGGGATTCTCTAGGGTGAAATCAAAAGGGAGATGTGGTCTGAATTGTGAATACAGATGAGTAAGGTAAGACCAGGCAGAGAGGAAGTATTTCAAGGAAAGAAAATGGCATGTGCAAAGGCCCTGTGACTAGAGAAAACATGCTGCAATCTAAGAACTTTAAAAGAACTGGAGCTTAGAAAAGGCAAAAGCAAAGAGAGACTGTAGGGGGATCATGGTGTATTATGACACTGACCTGGATGGGAGATGTCTGGCAGTGTAGGAAATATTGGCTGTGTTAATGTTTGTGGTCTTTTCCCAAAGAGTAAGGATAAGCCATTGGAGAATCTGAAAATAAGAATAACATAATCATATTTGCCTTTTAAAAATTACTCTGTATAGAAAACAGATGGAAGTGCTAAGAGTGAATGCTTAGAGACAAATTAGGAGACGATTACAAAAATCCAGGTGAAAGATGGTGGAGGTTTGGATTAGATCTGTAAGAGGAAGAGGTAGATTGTTAAAGGAGGTAAAATCAACAAAACTTGGTGACAGACTATTCCTGTTTTACTATTTTGTTATTTTAATGAATGATAACAACTAAAATAGGTAAAAATACCTAGGTACTTGAGGTATTGTGTATCCCCACACCATCCAAACTGATAGTGGGGATTAGAATGAAATGGAATGACATGGCAGCTGTTGTAATTATTTTGATAACTTGGAGCATCTGCTAAATTTTGACATTAAAATTATATTTATTAAGTACTTTAACATCAAACTGAGTATGAGAGGTCAAGTTAGTATCAAAAGACCTTATGATAAATTGGCTAAATTGTTCCCAATTACAAAGAAATACATGTCAGCACAGGAGAAATAGTACCCAACATTCTTTTATTTGGACAATCCTTGCAAACATTCTTCAGTTTTCCTGGATGCTCAAATTTATTATTTAGGCACAATGTATTTCTACATTAAAAAAATTTTAAAAAATCATTTAAAATATTACAGTGGGTCTCCCTGCTGGTGCAGGCAGTTGAGTACAGCACTGTGAAGCTGTCCCCAGCCTCTGCAGGGTGGGTTCAGATCCCAGCCAGTTGGGGAGATACCCACATGGCGCAGCAGACCTATCCTGTCTCACCTGTTGCTCCCCTCACCAGTGTATTTCAGTCAGTCTGCCTGTTCTGTTTCCCACTCTGTCTGTTGTGTATCCTCTCACTCTCCCACACATCCAGCCTATACCCTGGTTCTTGTATGCATGAATAAATAAATCTTTAAAAAAAAAAGTATTACGGTGACTGGGAACTGATTATCAGTGATTTATTAAACATGAAGAGGGAAGAAAACAGTAAGTTACATAAAACAGTTACATATCAGAAATCTGGAATTCAACTTCTTCCTTATCCTTTTTCCTCATCATATCTCCCAGCTACATTCACCCTTAACATGATGACTGTTTCCTGAAATCATCATGCCATTTTCCTGACTGAAGTCCTTGTAGCTATCCCAATTTTTTGGAAACTATCCCTTAGTGACTTTTCGCTGGCTGCCTTACTTTGTGCCCTTCTCCTTCAGAATCCCAAATAGTATTTAATTTATTCTGCTACAGCAACCAGGAAATGATACTTCTTTCCTCCCACATTTATGGTGACTGTCCCTAGGCTTCTGTACCAGGAAGCAAGTTGCTGGTACAGGCACTTAGTGCCTTAGAAAAGGCACAACAGGCAGGATTGGCTTCAGGCTGGTAAACCATCCTGACCTCACATCTGAGGAGCAGTGAAGAGGGTGACCACTGTGTCTATCCCGGTTTCCCTTTGAAATGTGATCATGGAGTGGGGCCTGGGGAAGGAAGGATAAAAGATCCCACACAGGCAGCTCTGGTGGGCCCCTAATATCCTGGCTATTTGATGTCCTGGATTTTAATCTGGGATTCTAAGTGTATGCTTTACTTTATGAAAATTCCTAGCAAAGAAATATAAATTTGCTTTCTCTCTCCCTTTTTTGCTTTGGTCTATATAGCTGTTGTATAGCTATTTTAGTAAGCTCTCTAAAACTCTTAAACAGCACTAGTTGTTAGATTTCAAAACCCTGAAAAGGACCAATTGTAGGTCTCTACATAAAAAAAATGGAACATTTGATAATCTGTTAAGTTTTGTGCTAGGTTCTATAACTCCTTTATTCTTCTAAGCATTCACTTGAAAGAATGCTATTTTTTCACTTTAAAGAAACTCTTAATACTTTAAAGGTCTCTAACAAACAACATATATTCCCCGACTTGTACCTCTGCTCCAACCATGCAAACTTCTTCACAACTCACATTCTCTCAGGTGCAAGCTTTCTTCAGTGTCACTAGTCCTGCCCAAAATATGCCTAAATTTCACTTCACCTCCATTATATATCCTAAAGCTCTGGTTAAAAAAAATTATATATGTATTAATGATTGCTTCTGAATACCTTTCTTATGATGACTCTTCTCAAAACTTGTGTAGTTTTCGGTACCTAATGGTAGTTCAATGTAGATGAGAACAAATCTCTAAGAGGATTTGAAGGGATGCTTCAAAGGTCCAAAAAAAAGATATTTTAAGTGTTTTTTTCTTCTTCAGTATTCAGATCCCAAAAGTTGTAACAAAAATATTTAATAATGATTTATTGTCCTTTTGTAGTTCTTAAAGATAATGTGTTAATAATAATCTGCCTAAATTCAGGCTATTTTTCTTTTTCTCAAGATTTCTAATGGTGATAATGAATTATAAGCATGTCACTATATTTTCTTCATTTTGTATCATATCCAGAATTAACTCAATATCTATATTGTAATACCTTTGAATTTTCTTGGTTAAAAACCATCATCAAATGGGCCTCCCCTGGTGGCGCAGCGGTTAAGCGCTGGGTTGCAAGGCTGCCCGCAGCCTCTGCAGCACCAATTTGATCCCTGGCCACTGGCGAGGGTCCCACAAAAAAAAAGTCATCCAAATGTATATTAAATTAAATTTTTATGTCTGAAATACATTTTACTACACTGTAAATGGCTTGCTGAACTTTCACAGATTATCTTGGAACAAATCTTATTTATGAGATTCTAAATTAAACTGCAGCAAACCAGAAGTCAGTTACTAAATGCTTCACAATTCTATATTCAGAATGATGTATAGGGAAGGAAAAGAGGATGATTTTGCATTGACTGTCACACAACAAAATTATAAGAGTTCTGTTCTCTCTGATTATTAGCTCAGAAATCTTCTATTTTAAGCTTTTGAAACTTAAGAATTTAGTTCAAAAACCATATGTTTATTTTTATGTTTGTGTTTATAAAACTTTGCTAAACATTTTTTATGCATTGAGTTGGAGAATGCAAGAGACAAGTGTCAAGAGCCATTAACAAATAAATCCTAACAATCAAGTAGGAAATAGAACATTATTGTTATAAAAATGCTATCAAAAGTGAAAGAAATGAGTACTGGAAATACACAGTACTTTACATCACAAAGTGTTAAGATTTCTAAATCAGTTATCTTGTGAATTTTTATACACTGCTAATATTGACAACATGTTCCATGAATAATGCAGTTGGGATGATTTCTCCTTGTGTGGATTGCCAGCTCTGGAAATCAGTAAAACTGAAGAATGAGTTGAAAAACCTATCAGCTTACTGAGTCTGCTAAAGCCTCTGAAACATGCATGTGTAATTACAGCAATTTAAGAAGTATAGTATGAGTAATAGCAAAGTATTTCATAGTTGCTGATATTAAAATCTTCTCTATTGAGTTCATGATTGAGTCTTTTTTAGAAATCCCAGATGCAAACAGATATGTAGATATTTTTTTTTTTTTAATTTCCAGCATTGTGTGTACAAGAAACCAAAATCTTCATGGGGGCATGCTGATGAGTTGCATGACACAGCTATCATTTCTGTTTTAAATGCATGTCCTGTTTGAAACCTGCAAAATTGTGTAGTGCATACATGTGTGTCCTGTGTATGGTATTTTGGTCTGATAGTGTGTTTGAGTTCTTTCTGGCTCTTTTCCTAGCAGAGTTCAATCCACAGCTTTCTTCATTGGAGAATTTGTGAAATAAAAGTGAGTTAATTTGTGTTACACACTCTTTAAATAACCTAGACCTGCAACTTGCTTGACTATAGAAAATTCTAAGAAACATATGAATTGACCTTTGCTGACCTTTCATGAATTTAATAAATGTTGGTTTGCTTTTCAAAATTTCTGAATTATGCTATAGTTAATATTTGAAAGACTATCCACCTATAAAAAATAATGTTTTGTAATATATGTTCTATATTTGTAATATATGTTTTGTAATATGTGTTATTATATCTAGCTATTCTGTGATTTTCTACATCTACAGCAGCCGTGTAATTGCCTTAAAAAATCACCACAACAAAAGGTAAAAGCAAAAAGATGAACTAAGAACGTGGAATCTTTTAAAAGCATAATCTAGTCAGCAGCTGGATCACAGGTCTTATTTTTATCTACTTATTCCTTTTATTGGCTCCAAGGAACCTCAAGCTGCTAATGAAGAATTTGAATTGTACTATAATGTATTAAATAATGACACTTTAAAAAACTAATTCATATGTTTCTCAGCTGAAGTTAAGATCTTAGAGTCATAAATAAATCTTACTTTTCTATAATTTGCTTCATCTATATCTTTAACATTCCCCAATCTTTCTTCTCCAGTATGTTTCACAAACAGCAAAGGTGACAGTATTAATAGTATGTCCATTGAATTCATTTTTAAAAACTTTTCTGTTTTCAATTGTATTGAATCCACCTTAACTTAATCATCTAAAAAGAAAGAGACTTGGGAGTGGGACACTTTAGCCCAAAGTTTTACTAGTTGGTTTGGCTGAAGAAGCAGAAATCTTGTTATAAATTTAGGGCCATTTTGAGTGTCACTGCATGTGATAGTAGAATTTACCTACTGAGTCAGGAAAACAGTGAATTGGTCCCATAACCGCCAAGACTTTCGTAGTTTTATTTAAGAACACGACAGACTTTTTGTTTGTATCAATTTTCTGATCTGAAAATTATTACCCTGAAGCCTGTTTGGAAAACAGATTTTGAGAGACAGGAAAAATACCAACCCTTATCGCTCCATTTTTGTTTAGAAGTTAAGTGTACACAGCAGCTCTGAGTAAGGGGGTAATGGCATTGATCAAAAACAGTGAATCTGCAAGATTTGAGTCATGTGGCCCTGAAACCTCACTCTTCCTCATGTGTCTAGGCCCTTTTTCAGAGTACAATATACCTCACAGCATAGGATTTTATAAGATTGCTTGATACTAGATAGTAATGGTGAATGGCCATTAGCTAAGAGAATCTTTTTTTAAATTTATCTTAATTGTTCTCATTTGATTTGACTCAAATATTATCTCTAGGAATTAGCATTCTTTGTCCACAAAAGCTCTGTTCTCTGAGAAAGTTGAACATTTATTATCTGATTCCTAATATTTTTATGAATATGGCATATCATGAAAGTATCTGGCTTATAATTGCCTTTTGGTGCTAATGGAATGGTGGTGGTGGTGCTGATGACAATAGCTTAGTAACAATCACAACAAACACTGACTCCTTGTCCATGAGATGTCCATCTCCACAACCCAATGGTGTGGGTTTTACTTCAAAATAAAGTGGCATTGATATTTAGAAAACAAAATATTTCTAAAATAGTAGTTCATATCAATGCTTTGCATTTCCCTGGCTGCATTAAAAAATATAATAGGAAATTGTTGTAACCTGCAGGAAATCTATTTTTCTTCCATAGTTGGTCAATATTTAACACAGAGTATATATGGAGAAGACATAAAACTACTATGTATAGAAAAAAGTAACAGCCTTGTCTTTGACAATTTTATAATTTTCTCATTTCCTACCCTAGAACTTTATAATTCCATTTTCTGTTGAGGCTGATGGTTGCTTTCTATGTGACTTTGTCTGATATTAAAATCTTCTCTTTTTGAGGATGGGACTCAGAGAATTATACCAATTCATACATCATAGTGTACCTTTGTAAGACCAAAAAAAAAGAAGAAAAAATTCTTATTTTTTATATTTTTGTTACTTCTGAACAGATTCTGAAATGGCCTTGCTTTGTAAAGAATTCTGCTGAAAGAGATAGTTTTCTTAAAGGCAACAGTTCACCTCCTTGGTACACAAATATGACAAGCATTTCTATGAGCTATGTTCTTTGTTCCCAGTATTTCCTGTTCTCCAATTCATCTACCCTAAAGGTAGTAATAAAACTAACAGAAGATAAAGAGGTTAATTAGGAAGTTAATACCTCCTAGCTTATTGAGAAAATTTTAAAACTAGAGAGGAAGCTAAAAAAAATTGGACTTTTGTGACTGTCTATGCAAGAGATCGATGGTCTTGAGCACTCATCACAAATCTGCATAACCTTAATTACAACTTGTGGCCATGAAATACCTCTTATTCAGACACACACACACACACCAAAAAAAAAAAAACTAGTTTAAAGGCTATATTATGGTTAACCACTTAGGAAGGTGTATTAATACCATCATAATATGCAGCATTTTTCATTTGAAAGCATTTGTAGACCCTGAGGTAATTAAAGAGTAACTGGAGCAGAGACCAGTCTGAGATGCCACCACAGCAACACACTTTGAATGTGCTTGAAGAGAAAATAAAAAGTATACACCTGGTAAATCATGGTACACCCTCAACTGCTACCACCTAAATGAGCAATTACCAGTCATGAGATTCAGTATCCTTTCTCTTCAATGAATAATTAAAGTATTGCAGAATTTCCATTCTATTTAAAATGTGCTGTCCCATTTTTTTGTACAAAAGAATAGAGCAAATGAACTCTCACCAGAAAGACTGCTTGAATGTTAAAGGTACTCCGTCTTAGCAGTGTGTATGCGAAAACAATTTTTGTCTCATATAGTTGTTGGAAACTGTTTGCTGTTTAAATGTTAAGCTTCCTCTGGAAAACAATTGGCTGCCCTATTCTGACTTGAGTGATAACATAATGAAAATGCTTTATTTCATTTACAGACAATGCTAATGAGGAAGAGTTGGAAAAGATCAAGTAAGGTAATGCTTAGCATGTAATCTTCCAGCATTTCTTGTTGAGAAGAACTATCAGCTGCTTTCCCAAATTTTTCTCATATCTTTTCATATATATCACAGGATTTCATCACTCTTCAGTTGTTATTTTTTTCCCATCTACCTTAAGCAAATCATGTGATGTTTTTAAATAAACAGAAATCACTCTAATCAGTTGCACCGAAATCATCCTTTCGCTAATTTCTGGTCGTTTCTCGGCATCATTCTCAGCATCTAGTCTCTGAAATATGTACCACAGGGTCTAGAAAATGTCTTTGCTCCAGATAAGGAATAAATTGATAAGGGTAGGGTAGGAATAACTCCAGAAAGAAGGAAGATCCTCGCAGCTTTTGTTCACTGAAAATTGAGTTTGCCTTCCTCCAAACTCAAAAGTCTCTATACTGTTATATCTTTACAATGTATAATGAGAATAATTTTCCATCATTGCCTCTTCCCACTTCAAAAAATAAGTGATTCTTGGGAGTAAGAGGAGTTTCCAGTGCCTGTGACTTACTAAACCCTACCCTTCCTTATAACTTGTGAAGTATGGAAGATATAAACTCATCATCTAATATGTTCTGTGGTAGTACCACCGAACTCTTAAACACAAAAAATATATAAAAATGAAACTGAGATTTTATCTCAGTATACCTTGAAGCAAATCAAAGGCAAATAATTATAAAAATCTTGCTTGCTTAAATTTCTATTTGAAAAGTCAGTATTTCTTTTTGATAGTGACTAATTTTTTTAGACCCTGGAACATAAGTATCTTTCTTTCATTCTGATTGAATCATGCTATTGCTAAATTTTAATTTAATTTCATCATTTTTATTGTTGTGAATTAAGAAAATACTTATGTCAAAATGTTTTTTGTACTTATGGCAACATCTTAATCTGTTTTTATATGTATTTCTTAATATACATTTTCTTCCTAATTCATATAGAATTAAGGACCAAAGGTAATTTGGCTCACAAAAGCATCAGGGTTGCATTGAAAAATCACCTTTATCATTTTAATAAAATGAAAAACATTTATTAAGGAAAATTGCTCAGTACTTCTGACTTACTGAACAAAATAAAGTTTTAGAAAGTTTTGAAGAAATGTTTGTATTGTTCATATTTGTTTACTTTTTCTTTGTATTGTACTTCAAAATCAGTGTTTCACTAAAAGTATACATTTTTTTAATTCATGTAATCTGACTTCCTCATTCTGTAACTATATTATGATATATTTGTGTGAAATTATTGCAATCCATTTGTATGTAACAATAGTTTTTCTTCCAGATACAGTTAAGATGTAAAGTTAGAGCAGAAATTATGTAGTATTTAGTATTTACTAGTGGGAATGATCCACTTTATTACAGTATAAAATACAGCATAAAAAGATTCTTCTTTAAATAATTCATTTACATTTAAATTTAATATTAAATTAAATAAACATAAATCCACATCTTTTCTGTCAGACTACAAAAACTTAAGCATGAATAAATAAACATTTATTCTCTACTTCTTATATTTAAAATTCTTAGATTTATTTTTATTATTAATAATCCATTGGTATATCACACTGGCGTATTTTTCTAGTTTGCCACTGCAGAAACAGAAGTCCGTGTGTCTAACTCCATACTCATTGTGATACATGACAGATTATTTTTAATGTACATGGTAATTTGACTGTAAGGTTTTTAGCCTAAGGGATGTTTTTAAATTTTACAAAATTTTGTGGCAACATTGAATGCTGAGTGAAGAAAATTCTGTTCATTCAGTTGGCTTCTTCTATGAAAACATACTGAACATCTGATAATTCACTCAAATTTCCACTGTCCCCTAAAACGTGTCATATTCATCCACCTTAATGTTATAGGAACTGTGTTAAATTAAAAAATCAGAGAAAGTTCGAAATTTCAATTTCCATCTAGTACACCGTCCTTCACATACACCGAAACTGTTCCTCCAATTCTTTCCTCCAGAGATTAAAGGAAAAAGGATGCTGTTCCAGTAAATTGTGCTTTCTTAGAAACCATGGATAAATGACTACACTATGAAATTTTAAGTTTTATTGTGTTCCTGCTTTGTAAAAGTGCATCTTTTTTCCTAATCATTTTAATCTTTCTCTTAAAAGATTCTTGTGAGAGGTTCTTTTATTTTTGGAAGGAAGATATGATCTATTTGTAATATATTAAATACGGGTATCTTTTATTTGATATAACTGTGCTCGAACTTAAAGGTGAAGTTTTCATGTAAACAGAGGTCATTTTTTCCTTTGGGATCTTTATTTATAGGAATAAGATCTTCTGCTTATCCCTATGGCAGAATTTTGCAATACAGCCTGTCTTTGAGTACCAATGGTCCATATAAAATGTGAGAATTAAAAATTTTGTGGTAGAGACTTAAATATATCCAGGTAATGTCACTAGGTATTGTCTTCAGTGTGGAATATTTTTCCTCTTTTTTTTTTTTAACAGAAGAGCTATAACCATGAAGAGGGGAAAGCTAAAATGACATGTTATTTTTGTAATATGCACATCTCTCCTGCATAAAAATGAATCAGCTCATGGAATTCCCATTATTTAAATACCTGCTTGTCATTTTCATCAGTAATAGATTCTTTCCATGGAAACCTTATTATTTGTGGCAGTCATATCATGTGTGATTGTATTTGCTATTAAAATCAAGAGATGCATAGACAAATAGAGGACAAGGATATTGCAATTGCTGTTCAGGATGGACTTTTATGTTACTTGGAGTAAATATGCTATCATACCAAGTAGGGGAAGATAGACCTCAACTTACCTCTGAAAAGCAAGGTTTTATAAAATATATGTAACATATATAAAATATATGTTATTGTGAATTATTTATTCACAATAAATAATTGTGAATCCCATATTCCCTTTTCTGGGCATGGCGACATACTTTAAGACACTTATGCTTGTTTTCTATATGCTTACCTTCCACCATGCATATTTTTTTTTATTCATCCCAACCCCACATTTAGTGGCAATGGAAATACGTTATTTTAAGAAGAAAGGAATCAATGTCTCCCTAAACTTGGGCAACCAGACAATTATCCCAATCAAAGAACTATACTAATGTAACAAAATGCATTTTGGCAGAGAAATGGTAATGCTTTGAGTTATAGCTATGTTTTATTCCTTAGGAGAAGCTTATCATTGATCATTTATTCTAAGGTTAAATTATTCAACAAGAGAGTTTCACAAGCTCAGAAAAAAAGATGTATGCATTTTGTGAATAAATTGTGTAGGGTCAAACTAAAAATGGGGGAAAAAAATGAAGTAATTGCCTCTATCAGACAGTAAGCAGAAATGACTTTACAAGTTAAGGAGTGTGTGTGTGTGTGTGTGTGTGTGTGTATGTGTTTTAACATAGAAAAATTTGTTTATCAAAGAGTGAGATAGTAATATACTTCTGTGCTTTCAATAAGTCACTTCAATTATATGAGAAATGGCCATTGTGATAATATAAAGTATACGCTTTGCAATTCATATTCTCAACAATAGCAGTTTAGAATTGTTTTAAGAAGAGTTCATCCTTTGAATAATATAATATAGACTATGTGATGATGTCTCATTAGCATATCTTCTGTTTCTTGATGGCCTATTTTTTTTAGTAATACATCTTTTTTATAAAGATTTTATTATAATCACTTAGCATAATTTTAATGAACTATGAAACACTTAATTCACTGGTTGAATGAAGCAGTTTTTAATAAGACTTTTGGCAAGGATATTGTTAATTTAAACTGGAGAACATTTTCAACTCTGTAAGTCTGCAGGGCGTAGTTAAACCTGACACCTTCGATGACATGTTAAAAAATGCATCAGTGAAAACCTCTAAGTGCTTTAATTTAGGAAACGATAGAGAAACAGATTAACACATTTTTAAGTATCTCACACAGTCACTCAGACATAGAGGGAGAAAGTCATATTTAACAATTATTAGGTCCTTCTACAAAAATCTCAAACCTGATAATAAATAGGTGATGTTTAAAAACTGAAACATTTATTGGTCATGTACTCAGTCAACTGTGAGTGACCACAATGGTTTTTCTTTGGTGTCTCACTTCAAACCTTATGACTTGAAATGTTTACCTATTTTTGAAGGGAAAATAGAATTATTTTAAAATCCTTATTTTGCCACTGTTTACTCTTAAATTTGTGTTATTTGGAAATGCTGTAAAGTTAATCTCAGAATTAAAACTCCTGAGATCCAAAATGCAACTATGAACAAAGGGCCAATAGCATGAGCATTTCTACTATTAAAGATTGTATTTTTTAATCTCAATTAATTAAATTCATAAAATTTGTAGGATGTCTATTTAAAATGGAAATATTATCATAATGCTAGTAAATATTTGATTACTCCCACAAAAGGCATGGAGTCATAATTAAATTTTATGTTGAGATGATTTTTTTTTTGCTGTTTTGACAATATTTCCCCACAGGTATAAAGTACCATACATTTTTATGTATTGTAATTCATAACTACAAGGATTTGCTGTAGCAATGACATTACATTTATTTGACCGCTCTGGTTGAATTTTTAAAATATGTGTCCTTGGGGAGAAAATCTAGATGAATTGGCTAAAAGTAAGAGGACAAGGTATAATCTGAAGTAGAGGACAGATTCCATGATGCCTGTGTGTTAGGTCTAAGATGTCTAATTGTGGAATCACTAATTTAACTGCATGTTGCTGATGTGCGTTACCAAGTGAGCTGATGGTTTTCCAAGGCCCTTACTGGGCTGAGCAAAGGGAGGGAATGTAATTTGTCTCCAGGGTAAGTGTTGGTTCACAGATTACATGGCCTTTTAATTGAAAGATATATGTGTATACATATAATGTATATAATATCTAAACATTGGTGTGTATATATATGATATATATGTTTAGATGCATATGTATGTTAAATTGAATGCAACAGGGAGGAGAGTCATAATTCTTGAAGTCCCCTAAGTGTTCACAAGAA